TAAATAATTTTAATGTTCAATGTAATGGGGAGCCCATCACTTTGGTTTCTCAGTAAATATTTGGGAATCCCTTTGCCCCATGCATGTCAGGAGAATTGATAGGGAACAGTGTAGTAAAGAAAGCGAATGCCAGACTGAAGTTCTGTTTTAGACAAGCACAGTGTTACCTACTGAGGCTCCCCGGGAAACCCTAGTCTAGCCCTTATACAAATGCCATATGGATTACGCATGCTCTCTTGGTACTCTGCCTTGACAAAAAACTGAAAGATAGACTGCAAATCACCAGAACAAAATCGTAAGATTCATCCTGGGCTGGACCAAGAGAACATGTAGGCAGGATGAATTACAGCATTTGGTATTGTGAATGTTGAAAGACAGAGTAAAACAACTGAAGCTAAATCTGTTTATAAAATTGCTCACAAACAATGCCAGAATATCTTGCTATTAATTTTGTAAAGGGTTTGGGAACCAAAGCAATCATAGTATGGGGGAGAGAGCACAACTTTGTAGTACCCACAGTCAGTGGCCAGCCTTCAAACCTTTTATTGTACAGCAATAAAGGAATGGAACAGACTGCCCGCACATGTCAAAGCCAGCCATAGCATGAACTAGTTCAAGAAGAGTGCCAAAAGGTGTCTGATGAATGTAGCTACAGAAAGGGAGGGGAATGATTTTCTATTTTTTAGCTAACATACGTGTAAATTTTACCATATTCCTAGTAATGACCCTCGTATTGTAGATAGTCTTAATGACCTTGGTGTAGTAGATAGGTACTACCGTCCTGCCAAGTGAGTGTAAAACGAAAGCCTGTAATTGTTTTACATGATGGTAGGATTGCTGGTGTCTTTTGTCTGTCTCATAAATATGCAAGATTACAGGTACGTCTTGCTACTTCTACTTACACTTAGGTCACACTACACATACATGTACACATTTTTTTATACACACTCATCTGAGTTTTCTTTGATTTTATCTTAATAGTTCTTGGTCTTATTACTTTTCCTTTTATATCCATGGGGAAGTGGAAAAAGAATCTTTCCTCGTAAGCCATTTCGTGTTGTAAAAGTCAACTAAAATTTCCGGAACAATGGGCTAGTAACCCCTTTTCCTGTAAAGATTACTAAAAGAATAAGAAGAAAAAAATTTTCATAAGTGGGAAGTCTGAAAGTGCGTGGTGTTGTGCAAATGATAAGAAAGAGATGAAATTTTGGATGTTATGAATGAGAAGAAACTGGATTTTCCTGGCTTTAAGTGAAACAAAGCTGAGGGGGGTGGGAGAGTTTCAATGGAGAGGAATAAATGGGATTAGGTCAGGGGTTTCAAATAGAGTTAGAGCTAAAGAAGGAGTAGCAATAATGTTGAAGGATAAGCTATGGGGAGGAAAAGAGGGACTACAAATGTATAAATTCAAGGATTATGTGGAGTAAAATAAAGATTGGATGTGAAAAGTGGGTTATAGTAAGGTGTATGCACCTGGAGAAGAGAGAAGTGTAGAGGAGGAGAGAGATTCTGGGAAATGTTGAGTGAATGCGTGGGGAGTTTTAAATCAAGTGTGAGAGTAATGGGGGTTGGGGTTTCAAAAGCTAAAGTGGGTAAAAATGTTATGGAGGGAAATAGGGAGGTTATTTTGGGGTGCCCGGGGTAAATGTAAATGGGGAGCCTTTAATTGAGCTATGTGTAGAAAGAAATTTGGTAAATAAGTAATACATTTTTATGGGAAAAAAAGGATAAATAAATATACAAGGGATGATGTAGCACATATGAAAGTAGGTTTGTTAGATTATGTATTGGTGGATAAAAGGTTGATGGGTAGGCTCCAGGATGTACATGTTTTATAGAGGGGCAACTGATATATCGGATCATTATTTAGTTGTAGCTACAGTTAGAGTAAGAGGTAGATGGGAAAAGAGGAAGGTGGCAACAACAAGTAAGAGGGAGGTGAAAGTGTATAAACTAAGGGAGGAGGAAGTTCGGGCGAGATATAAGCGACTACTGGCAGAAAGGTGGACTAGTGCAAAGATGAGTAGTGGGGGGGTTTGAAGAGGGTTGGAATTAGTTTTAAAAATGCAGTATTAGAATGTGGGCAGAAGTTTGTGGTTATAGGATGGGTGGGGGGCAGGAGGAAAGAGGAGTGATTGGTGGAATGATGAAGTAAAGGGTGTGATAAAAGAGAAAAAGGTAGCTTACGAGAGTTTTTACAAAGCAGAAGTGTTATAAGAAGAGCAGAGTATATGGAGACTAAAAGAAAGGTGAAGAGAGTGGTGAGAGAGTGCAAAAGGAGAGCAGATGAAAGAGTGGGAGAGGCACTGTCAAGAAATTTTAATGAAAATAAGAAAAAATTTTGGAGTGAGTTAAACAAGTTAAGAAAGCCTAGGAAAGTATGGATTTGTCAGTTAAAAACAGAGTAGGGGAGTTAGTAGATGGGGAGAGGGAGGTATTAGGTAGATGGCGAGAATATTTTGAGGAACTTTTAAATGTTAAGGAAGAAAGGGAGGCGGTAATTTCATGCACTGGCCAGGGAGGTATACATCTTTTAGGAGTGAAGAAGAGCAGACTGTAAGTGTGGTGGAGGTACGTGAGGCATTACGTAGAATGAAAGGGGGTAAAGCAGCTGGAACTGATGGGATCATGACAGAAATGTTAAAAGCAGGGGGGGATATAGTGTTGGAGTGGTTGGTACTTTTGTTTAATAAATGTATGAAAGGGGGAAGGTACCTAGGGATTGGCGGAGAGATGTATAGTCCCTTTATATAAAGGGAAAGGGGACAAAAGAGATTGTAAAAATTATAGAGGAATAAGTTTACTGAGTATACCAGGAAAAGTATACGGTAGGGTTATAATTGAAAGAATTAGAGGTAAGACAGAATGTAGAATTGCGGACGAACAAGGAGGTTTTAGAGTGGGTAGGGGATGTGTAGATCAAGTGTTTACATTGAAGCATATATGTGAACAGTATTTAGATAAAGGTAGGGAAGTTTTTATTGCATTTATGGATTTAGAAAAAGCATATGATAGAGTGGATAGAGGAGCAATGTGGCAGATGTTGCAAGTATATGGAATAGGTGGTAAGTTACTAAATGCTGTAAGAGCTTTTATGAGGATAGTGAGGCTCAGGTTAGGGTGTGTAGAAGAGAGTGAGAATACTTCACGGTAAAAGTAGGTCTTAGACAGGGATGTGTAATGTCACCATGGTTGTTTAATATATTTATAGATGGGGTTGTAAAAGAAGTAAATGCTAGGGTGTTCGGGAGAGGGGGTGGGATTAAATTATGGGGAATCAAATTCAAAATGGGAATTGACACAGTTACTTTTTGCTGATGATACTGTGCTTATGGGAGATTCTAAAGAAAAATTGCAAAGGTTAGTGGATGAGTTTGAGAATGTGTGTAAAGGTAGAAAGTTGAAAGTGAACATAAAAAGAGTAAGGTGATGAGGGTATCAAATGATTTAGATAAAGAAAAATTGGATATCAAATTGGGGAGGAGGATGTATGGAAGAAAATGAATGTTTTCAGATACTTGGGAGTTGACGTGTCAGCGGATGGATTTTATGAAGGATGAGGTTAATCATAGAATTGATGAGGGAAAAAGGTGAGTGGTGCGTTGAGGTATATGTGGAGTCAAAAAAACGTTATCTATGGAGGCAAGAAGGGAATGTATGAAAGTATAGTAGTACCAACACTCTTGTATGGATGTGAAGCTTGGGTGGTAAATGCAGCAGCGAGGAGACGGTTGGAGGCAGTGGAGATGTCCTGTTTAAGGGCAATGTGTGGTGTAAATATTAAATGCAGAAAATCGGAGTGTGGAAATTAGGAGAAGGTGTGGAGTTAATAAAAGCATTAGTCAGAGGGCAGAAGAGGGGTTTTGTTGAGGTGGTTTGGTCATTTAGAGAGAATGGATCAAAGTAGAATGACATGGAAAGCATATAAAATCTATAGGGGAAGGAAAGAGGGTAGGGGTCGTCCTCAAAAGGGTTGGAAAGAGGGGTAAAGGAGGTTTTGTGGGTGAGGGGCTTGGACTTCCGGCAAGGTGTGAGGTGTTAGATAGGAGTGAATGGAGACAAATGATACTTGGGACCTGACGATCTGTTGGATTTGTGAGCAGGATAATATTTAGTGAAGGGATTCGGGGAAAAACCGTTTATTTCATATAGTCGGACTTGAGTCCTGGAAATGGGAAGTACAATGCCTGCACTTTAAAGGAGGGGTTTGGGGATATTGGCAGTTTGGAGGGATATGTTGTGTATCTCTATATGTATATGCTTCTAAACTGTTATATTCTGAGCACCTCTGCAAAAGCAGTGATAACGTGTGAGTGTGGTGAAAGTGTTGAATGATGATGAAAGTATTTTCTTTTTGGGGATTTTCTTTCTTTTTTTTTGGGTCACCCTGCCTCGGTGGGAGACGACCGACTTGTATGAAAAAAAAAAAAAAAAATAAGATGTTATCTTCATTGTAGAATAATAAGAAAATATTATAACCTTTATATTATAATAATAAGGTAAAAGGACCCCAATGGAAATAAGTCACTCTGTCTGACTTTTTTGGGTTATCCTAGGTTCTCTACACATATGCTGCTATGTATGATAATTCTATGTAACTGTATTTGTGTATACCTGAATAAACTTACTTACTTACTTACTTACTTATAACATTGATCTATGTTTGGAGCACTACACATGCAAAGGTAGATCTACATTTGGACAGTTTAAGGGTTAAAGGAGGGGTTTTGGATATTGGTTGTTTGAAGTGACATCTAAGGTGTCATATCTGGGTGCCTCTGCAGTGATTATGTGTGAATGATGGTGAAAGTGTTGAATGATGGTTTAAGTGTTTCCTTCTTTTTTGAGTCACCCTGCCTCAGTGGGAGACAACCGACGTGTTAAAAAATAAAGCACTTGAACAAAATTTGCATTGGTTTCTTAATTTAAATAACACCAAGAATAATCTCCTTTAAACAATATACTTTTTCCATGCTTGATTAAAATAAGATTACACTTGCCTCTGATCAATAAAAACAAACTTGCCATCATTGGTATGCTTGGAAATAAATTCAATACGTTGAACTGGTGCAGCTCTGCCTAGTCTTGAAGTCTCCCGCACACTAGAGGCCAACAATGGTTGATGCACTCGTCCAACTGCAACCTAAAAAAAAAAAAAAAAAAAAAAAAATTATAATCAAACCTTTATAATGTTCAAGGGACATCATTTATAGCTTACTTATAAGATTCAAATACAATTTACATAAAACAAATTATACAAAACCTACATATTAACAAAACATTTTTTTCTGGCAAGTGATTGAATAGTATAGAGAAAACCCTATTATGCAAGTAAAATTAATTCTTCTACATAAAAAAAGCTGTTACAAGACCCTTTATAATCACCAACATCAAATATAACGGGACCTTATGATGAAATTTATCTAAAAAAAGTAGGAGAGGTAACTCTGTAAAAGATTGAATTTATCAAGCTGTATAGTAAATGTAGTAATAAGGATAACAATAAACTTCATGTTAGTACCATGAACTACTAAAGAATATCAGTAGTATACTGAGAAACATAGTATGTTCAAATTATTAATTTTCATGAAATCTATTTTAAATGTAGTCTAACATAAGTTATCCAGGAAAACAAAACTGATGTCAAACCCTCTACCAAACTCTTTCTTAAAGCAGGCAACAAACTGGGAGTGTGAAGCACATACTGTGTGTGTTTCTCATTCCTAGACTCTACCTTGCCTACTTTCATGTCATCCAATAATGTTTTTCTTCTTTACTATTTTTTTCAAAATTTTTCTCCTGAATTACCATCAACTCTCTCTCTTATCATACTGTACTGAATTTGTACAGCTACTAATTTTTTATCACAATTCTTATAAACTATATTTTAATTCTAATGTATCTTTCATTGATTGTTTTTTGCATATAACTGACCAATATATCTTTTAATTATATTTTACTTTTCTCATTTTCTACTTCACTTCATATTCTTACTGCACATTATTATTGCTTTCACTGTATAAAACTCTTAACTACATCATGTGGGTTTTAGAAAATGACTACATATTGCCTATGTTATCCTCCATGTTGTTGAAAAACAATTCTTTCAGCTTCTTTACACATTCTAACACTTATTTCCTTAGTTTCTCTGGCATCACCATTATCTCTCCTTTACCTACCCCTTGAATGAAACATAAGATTCATTTTAATACACTTATCTAAATTTATCAACTAGAGTACGTACTTATTTCATAATTCCTTTAATTTTTTTACCACACAGGCCATTTTCCCACCAATGTCTAGTTTTTCAAAAGGAAACACATTCACCATCACTCTAAACAACAGGCATGATAAAACTTAATTTTTATTAGTAAGCCACTGGGTAAGAAGTCCATAATACAGTACATATTTCAATATTTTAAAGAAGCTCATAATCTACAACAAACAAAATAGATTGCTTATGGTATTAGTGAATACCACAAGCAACATTGTATGAGGTGGCCAGCAAGTGGTGCTTGAGAAGCAAGGTGACAAGACATTTAAGAAATACACGCACTTGCAACACTTGGGCTTCTTTATTGAGGAAACGTTTCGACACGCAGTGGTTTCATCAGTCTTAAACAAAGAAGAATGGTGAAGATCAGATGGAGTATCAATCCCTCAGCCTGGAGTCGATGTAATCAGTCCATCAATCTTGAAAAAAATACAGCATATGTGTGAAGAAGTGGTTATATACTGTAGACAGGTAAGGTGAAGCAGTCGTGATATTGCCTATGACTGCTTCACCTTGCCTATCTACAGTACATTAGCCACTTCTTCGCATATATGCTGTATTCTTTTCAAGATTGCTGGACTGATTACATCGACTCCAGGCTGAGGGACTGATTACCTCAAACCCCAACTGATCTTCACTATTCTTCCTTGTATAGGACTGATGAAGCCACTGAGTGGCAAAATGTTTCCTCAATAAAGATACCCAAGTGTTGCACATGTGTCTAATTCATCACCTTGTCAGTTCTCTGAGCCATTTATCTACAAGACATTTAAGGTTAGGGGAAGAATACTAATTTTACACTGTACTTTAGTATATGAGTATTAAAATAGTATATATCAGTGAAGAGATGAGCATTGGTTGGATACTTTGATGCAAGTGACAGGGCAACTGTTGAAGTCAGGAAGGATATTCTAAATCAGTGTTTCCCAAACACCATAATAAAATCTGCCATTATAGGAGATTATCCATGGAATACCAGTGACACTTCATAGACCATGAAACACAGTTTAGGCAATGGTGTTTTAGATAATTATTGTTCTTTGGTGATTTTCATAAGGGATTTCACAATATACAAACAGAAGTGAAAAAATCAACTATAAAAAATATAATAAAATAAGCAAATATAAAACTGTACTCACTGCTACATAAATTTTAAGCATTTAAACCAGACATTGAAGACAATGACACACAAAACATTACTCATTTTCATAAATCAAAGCTTAATTAGAAATAAAAATAATTGATCTCAGTAATCCTTTTTTTTTATTTGTCTAAAGATGCACTATAGTTCAAATCAAGGTGGAGTTCATAGATACCGTATACACTTTTCCTCTTAAATAAGAGATTCAGAGAAATCAGGTGGTCAGACTTGAGAGTTCTGGAAGTGGAAAGTACAGTGTTTGTCCTCCAAAAGATATGTGAGAATACTGCAGTTCAGACTGGCATTTGAAGTGATGCTTGTACAATTCTGACAAGACAGCTATCAAGGGAGTGATGACAAACATTTCCTTATACTGTACTGTATGCGTCACTCTACCTTGGTGGGGAAATTGCCAATGTAATAAAAAAAAATATCTTCAACAGGTTTTCCCAACATAAATTTCAAATGCCATGGAATCTTTCCATTAAATCTCACCAAGCATGACAGGTTACACGACTCCGAGTCGCTTCCTGAATCTTCCTCCAGAGAGTCTTTTGTAGGAGCCCAAGACTTAAGGTAACCAGTGAAGTGGATTACACTGTACTTCTTATCTGCCAAAAATATAATTACCCATATTTATTAAAAAGAAAAACTTTTGTTTTACTTTTAAGGTCACCCTACTTCAGTGGGATATGGCCAATTCATTGAAAAAAAAAAAATTTACCCTTCAATGTCAAATTTTGACTGGATGATGTGCACAATTTCATTATAAAAGCACCCTTTCATAATTGCAAAAGACAGTTATTTTATGAAGGTAAACATTCTTGTGTATTGCTCAACTATATTACTGTAGTATCATCATGTAGCACACTGCAAATCATGTAAAAGAAAGTTTCACACATGCTATATTAATACAACCCCTCCTTACTTAGCAACGACTCGGACTTACAATGGGCTCTCTGACCAGTATGCATACCTAAATAATGTAGTATATTAGAGCTAATTTCCTCTATTCTGTTTATTACTACTGTATAAACATTTAAAATATAATAAAAATGTTACAAATGGTACAAAGATGACATTAAAACAATATCAAAGATAGTTGACACAAATCCACTATCATTATAGTATGCTCCTTGCTTAGCGACAAATTCATTTACCGACGTGGTCTTAGGAACGAAACTCCATTGTTAAGTGAGGAGAGGCTGTAATTAATAAAGAAGAATTTTATGGGACTAAAACTCTCATCTATCTCACCAGAACTCTGTGATTTTGATTTTTTCTTTTGACAGCCAGTGGAAGAGTCAGCTTCTTCTTTTAAAACTGGAGCAGACTTACATCTCATGCGGCAAAAAAAAGCTCGTCGTGACCCTGGACACAGTTTATTAAGCCCCTGAGGAACATCGGCCTTCACTGGTAGAAGAGCTGTAAGAATTAATTAATTGCATTTTAAAGTTTATCACAGTGCCAACTCTAAAATACATTTACTTCTTTATTTCTATATTTAACATTTTATTCACTGAACTTTTAATGCATCAGTCTATATAAAGAAATTTCTAGGACCATGGTTGCAATTCTTCCTTCAGCAATTACAACACATGTCTTAATAATTACCATAAAATTTTATCAGCCTTCATGTAGGATCATATGTCAGAAATAGACGAGTTTGTAATCTAAGTTTAGATCAGTATTTTTCTAAACAAATTTCCAAATAACTCGTTAAAAAAAAAATACCATTAACAAATTAATTCATAACCTCCATATTGCCCTTTCAACAAATACTGTTTTTTCATTGTTTTTTATTTTTTCCCTACTTGTGCATTGCATTAGCTTAGAAGGTTCCTACTACATCCTTTTTTTACCTTCTTATTTCCTATACAGGTATTTGCCAGGAATGTCCTCATTCTTTAAACACAGTCTGTTTTCTCAGCACATATGGCATCCTCTTCATCTGAATGATAGTGAAACCAGCCTGTGGAATTTTTTGCCAGATACATACAATGGACGATTATTAATGTGTGTTACGTTTTTGAAAACTGCATTACTAATGATTTGCATTGACTTGTATAGTGAAAAATACACAAGAAAAATAAGGTTGCATTCCTCACACCTCCAAGAGTGCCATAAAACTTTTTTTGTCATAATCCTCAAAAAAAAAAAAAAAGTTTCTGAACTCTAATGAGGTTAAGACTGTGAAAAGGAAGAATACATGTAGCTAAAAAAACAGTTACTATTTTTTTTTTTTTCAACAAGTCGGCCGTCTCCCACTGAGGCAGGGTGACTATTTATTTATTTATTTATTTATTTATTTATTAATTTGAACATGATACAGAGAAGTACAAAGGAATACAGTTATTGAAGTGCAACATACCCTCACTGCTCACACAAACATCTCTAAACACTTCTTTATCAACAAACAATAAAACAAGGAATTAAAGATACAATCAAATTCATCCTTGTCACTACTTAAAATGAGAAAATTGTATAAAGAAAAGTGTGATGGTGTTATCTGATAGATATGTATGAGTCAAGTCAGCTGATTAAACAAACACATCTCAGGTGTCTATCCTCACTACTAACAAATATCTTCAAACACTGTGTGGTGAGTTATATAACCATCTCCAAACACTTCTACATCAACAAGGAAGAGAAACAAAAAATTAATTTAAGGTACAGTGGACCCTCACTTTTTGTCAATCTCTGTTATCATCGATTTCAGTTTTGATGACTTTTTTCACCAAAATATTGCCTCTGTTTTCATCAATGGTACGGAACCTGTCCAGTGCCCAGCACGTACACAAAGCCGCCTCCCACACATTCCCAGGCAGTGTTGTGTTGTTTCTCGGTGAGTGAACACATCCTGTGAGGTCATATGAAACATTTCATAATAATCCATTGTTTTTGGCACTTGTTTATTGTGTGTGACTTCTAAATAAGCCACCATGGGCCCAAAGAAAGCTTCTAGTGCCAGTCCTTTGGTAAAGAAAGTGAGGAACACGGTAGAATTAAAGAAAGAAATTGTAGCAAAGTACCAAAGTGGAGGAGGAAGAGAGAGGGGAGAATGTGCCTTCTTCAGTGATTCTACAATATGTATGATACTAAAGCAGCATGAGTCGATAAAGGCTATAGCACCAGCCAGCGATAAAGTATAGCATTAGAAGTGTAGCAAGTAAGTTAAGCAATTAATTAAAGAAAAATGTGTGAGCAAAGAACCTAACTCCGAAGGTTCTGGAGTTAAAGGCTCTACATATTCTACAACACTCTGCTGCTGCCTTCACACATATGTATGGCTTATGCTCCATGCCACTAACACCTCAACACTTAGACATACATGAAGACAATTTTATTATCTAGAGAATAATAGGGTAGAACTAAGTTCGTCAGGAACAGGAAATGTTCCTGCCGGGCTTAGTCAGATCAACACCGCCACTTGGCTGTTTGCGTCATCTGCACCAGGTTCGCTGGCTTACAGGTCCACCTTTAAACATTATGGTCATTTATAAACCATTGTTATATATTATATATTTTTAGAGTTATTCTGTTATGATTTTCTATTTATATTGTTTATTATGTAATATTAGATGAACTGTGATAGAAAAATAAGCTGTAGAGTTATATTAGTGTCATATTGAAGCATATCCTGTCTCCAACAATAAACTCGCCTCCCTCTCCTTTCCTCCCTGTCTGCCATACACCAACAAAAGGTAAATGTGAAGTTAAATGTTCATTTATACATTTTATTAGTGCTTTATATTTATTTGTCATTCTTTTCTGCATGTAAATCTATATTTAAGCTACAAAAAAAATTTTTGTTAATACTACTGGGTGTCTGAAACGGATTAATTGGATTTACATTATTTCTTATGGGGAAAATGGTTTCAGTTTTTGCAGATTTCAGTTTTCACTGATCTCTCTGGAACAGATTAATGACAAAAAGGGAGGGTCCACTGTATACTGTACTGTACTAATAAGACTGTGCATTAAATTTGTAACAGTCACTGGTAGTGTATTATCTGTCAATGTATGTATTCCTTGGATGGAGCACCATGCTCATGTTTTTGGGGAAAAATAGACACTATACTGTGTCAAATACCATCGTCGAATACAAGCTTCCCACAGCCTTATTAAGTTTATTGTGTAAGTTTTATTTAGGATCTGGATGCAAATACATTTCTAGATCAACAAGCAACAACATCAGCAATATATTTTGTCAAAACCTTCATTATTTTTTACAAAATAAAAAAATATTGCATTTTTTGGAGGTGCTTTGAGTTTCACTTTATTTTTTCATATATAATACATATTTTATAGCACAAAATAACACAAAGCATTGATTTCAGGAACAACAAGTGTGTTATTTGAGGTGTACCTATAAATATACAGAGTACCACTAACAGAGAAGTTGTGAAGATTGTATTAATGTTGGAAGAATTACTGACAATATGTTAGATAAAAGGATACAAGAGCTTGATAAAGCCCCTGGAGAGCAAAACATTGCCATAATAAAATGTCACATTAGTTGCACTTATGTCCTTTTATCTAACAAGTTGTGAAGAGGAAGTCAATCTGACTCATGTTTTGTAGGAGTGAATAAGGAGGAGCAGTTGCTAAAATAGTGAAAATGTAGTTGAAAGAGAAAGAAGTGAAAGGTGCCAGGAGAAAACTTATATGCCAGTAGTGTAAATGTTTGATTAGGAAAATGATTGAGATAAGAGAATGAAAGTGACTGAAAAAGCCATGAGATGAATTCTGAGGGAGAAAGAAATAGAAATAATGATGAGTAGAGCAAGAATGGGAGTATAATTTAGTTAAATAATTCTAGAAATGGAAAGGGGGAAAAATGTGAAGTGGAAAATAAGATGAGACTATACAGCAGTGAAAGGAATGTTATGATGTTAGGTGTTATGCTCTTAGTAATGCCAGGAGATTCAGAATGAATCTTTCAGTTGGAAGGTGCAGTAGAATGCATGGTGAATATATAGCAGATAAATAGAAAGGATCCAGCCTAGTCAAGTATAACTTGGAAAAATATGTTTTAATAAAATTACTGTACTTACTTTTAGCATCAACAAGCCTTTCCCGACGACTGATGTCTGAACATGAGAGTTGTTCCTTTACTTTTGTTAGATCTTTTGGGTGCAAGATATCAAACCAACTCATTCCCAGCAATTCTCCCTAAAACATAAGAAGTATAGAAAAATACCACAAATGAAATTAATAAGTTTACTACTGTGTTTATACATATCCCACAGGGATAGTGAGCTAAAATTCTTTCCCTGTAAGCCATGCAAGTCATAAAAAGTGACTAAAATGCCAGGAGCAAGAGGTTAGTAACCCCTTCTTCTGTATTCAATTAAGTCAGATTTTTTTTAAACTATAGGTAGGTAGGTAGGGGTAGGGGTGTGTGTTGTGTTTTGTGTGTGTGTGGGGTTTTTGGTGTGGGGGTTGTGTGTGTGTGTGTGGGTGTGTTTTGGTTTGGTGTGGGGTGTGTGTACGTGTACTTGTACCACCAAATTTTCACCTAATTGTGTTGCGGGGGTCGAGACTCAGCCCCTCCCCGCCCTTACTGATCGCTACTAGGCCCCTCTCTCTCTTTTTCCCTGAGCTGTATCATCCCTCTTCTTAAAACAATGTTTGGTCCTGCCTCCACTACTTCACTTTGCTAGGTTTAACCACTTCCTGACAACTCTAGACTGAAGAAAAAAACCTTCCTAACGTCTCTTTTGACTCGTCGGGGGTCTTAAGCTTCCAGTTTTATTCTCAAATAAAATGTATTTTTTTTAATATTTTTGGGGGGCGGGAATTGTTAATTGTGGGGTGGTGTGTGGTGTGTGTGTGTGGTGTGTGTGTGTGGGGTGTGGTGTGTGTGGGTGTGGTGTGTGTGTGTGTGTGTGTTGTGGGTACACCCCACCTATTTGACTACCTATTTGTGGTTGCGGGGTCGAGTCTAGCTCCTGGCCCGCCTTTTTCACTGATTCTACTAGGTCCCCTCTCCCCTGCCCATGAGCTTTATAAGAAAAATAAAAAATGTGGAAAACACTCCCAGAACCCTTTACGGGCCCATACGAGGCGGGCCCCCTTATAAAAAACGATTTTCTCCCTTTATAGCCCAAAAAATAACTCCCTTACCCCTTTACCCCAAATTAAACCCGGGCCCCTCCCACTCATATATCCGTCCAGTCTCTTTTTAAAGCCCCCAAAGGGCCCCAGCCTCTATCCCCCCCGGGGGATACGCCATGCCCCCGGCCTTTTCCTGTTTCAACAGGTCCTCTCTCTCCCTGCCCCATGACCCTTTATCATACCTCGCCTTAAAACATGAAAGGGTTTCCCCGGGCCTCCACTACTTCATTTTCCCTAGGCTTTTTCCCCCGGTTTTGACTACTCTATGACTGAAAAAAATATTTCCTAACATCCCTTTGTTTTCATCGATTTTAAACTTCCAATTGTGCCCCCCTTGTTTTGTGCCCCTCTCGGGAAAACACCCTTCTTTGTCCACCTCGTCAAATTCCGCGCATATTTTATATGCCCCGTTATCATATCCCCCCCCGACCCTCCTGGCCCCCCAGTGTCGTCGGGGCCGATTTCCTTAAACCCTTTTCTTCGTAGGAAAAATCCCCAAGCTCGGGGCCCCTATTTCCTTGCGGAAAACCCTTTTGAAACTTTCTCAAAATTTCTTGACGGCTTGACTAGGTGGTTTTCCCAAAAACGGGTGTTTCTGTGTGTGGTGTGTGTGTGTGTGTGTTTTACCACCAAATTGGGGGTTGCAGGGGTCGAGACCCCGGCCCCCTTTCCCCCCGCCTCTTCACTGATCGCTACGGACCTCTCTCTCTCTGCTTCCGGGCTTTGCCCCATACCCCCTTCTTAAAACTATGTAGGGTTCCTGCCTCCACAACTTCATTTTTGCTAGGTTATTCCACTTGCTGACAAACCCAGACTGAAGAAATACTTCCAAACGCCCCTTGACCCCGTCCGAGTCCTTCAGTTTTCCAGTTTTTCCCCCCTTTTCCCCCTGTCCCCCCCCCCCTTCTGGAACATCCTATCTCTGTCCACCTTGCTATTCCCCCGCAGTATTTTTTGAAATGTCGTTACCCAAGGCCCTCCCCGACCCTTTTTGCCCTCCAGGGGTCGTCAGTCCCGATGCCCTTTAAAACCTTTCCTCGTAAACTTTCCCCTTTTGGCTCGGGACTAGCCTTGTTCCCAAAAACCTTTTACTTTCTCTAATTTCTTGCGTGCTTGACCTTTTTGGGGGGTTTTCCAGACTGGTGCTGCATACCCAGTAGGGGGCCTAACATACACAGGGGTACAGTGCCCTTGAACGTTTCCTTATTAAGGTATGGGAACCCTATTCCCCCGGTTTTGCCAGGCCCCAAAAACCCCCTGCCCCCGGTTTTTTGGTTTGGATGTGTGCCCCCGGGTGATGTGCTGGGTTTAGGGGTCCCCCCAAAGGCCCCTTTCTCCCTAAAGGGGGGTCTGTACCCCTTTGCCCAAACCTACCTATACTCTGTCTGCGGTCTTTTTTTGCCCCTCCCCAATCTTAAATGACCTTTTGCATTTGGCTGGATTGAATTCGAAAAGGGCCAGTTACTGGACCACATTTTCCAGCCTCTCCAGGTCTTTTGCAGCCCCCGGCCTCATCCTCGCCGGGGTTTTAATTTCCCTTTCTCACCAATTTCACGTAAAACTGCGAACGGGGACACTTCAAGTCTTTTCCCTTTTCCAAAGTCTTTCACATAAATCAAAAATAGCACGGTCCTAGAACTGACCCCTTTGGGACCCCCGCTCGTAACAGAGGGCCCACTGTGATACCTCTTCACGTACCTGACTCTTTTTTCCTCCCTGTCAGGTATTCCCTTATCCATTGCAGGGGCCCTTTCCCTTTTTAAACTTTTCCTATCCTCCAGCTTCTCACTAATCTCTTGGGGGGAACTGTTGTAAAAAGGCCCTTTCCCCGCGCAGGAAAACGCAATCTACCCACCCCTCCCCCCTCTCGTGTTTTATTTCCCTGTTCCCTTTGCCCATAAAACTCCAGGAGGTTTGTGTTTACAAAAATTTTGGGCCTTCCGAACCCATCGGGTTTTTCATTTAAAAACCTTGTTTTTTTTTCGGGTTTTGGGGGGGGGGGGGGGGACCACTCCCCCTCCTGATAATCCCTCCATGTTTTGAAACACAAAAAAGGGCCAGAGCCCAGGTCGGTATTTTAAAGTCCCTTCGTTTCCCTGTTTCCTTTCTTAAATAGGGGGACTACAATTAGCTGTTTTCCATTTCTCGGGTAGTTGCCCAGTTTAAAGGGGGAGGGTGTTAAAGTTTGTGGTTAGAGGCCACACAGCATCTCTGCCCCTTCCTAAGGCCCCAGGGGAATGTTGCCCGGGGGTCCCATCGCCTTTGAGGTGTCAAGGTTTTTTAAGAGTTTCTTAAACCTCCTCCTCATTTGTTCAAATTCACCCAACACTTTTTTGGGTATATTCCCTTTTGTTTTTCCCTTCTGTGCGGGTCTTCCCACACCCCTTCCTGTCAAAAACTGTAAAAACTTCCTTAAACCCTCCTGTTCAGCTCCTCACATACCCCCAAACATTTCTTTGATTTCCCCACCTTCTGCCCTTTAAATCTGATCACCTGGTCTTTGAATGTTTTTCCTTCCTCCTGATGTGGTTAAAACAACAGTTTGGGGGCACTCTTGATTCTCGATCATGCCCTTTTTATACGGGTCGCTGGGCCCTCCCCCCTTTAAACCTGGGGATACCCATTCCGGGCCCCTTGCGCCGGACTCCCTTTTTTCCGTGTTTTTCTCTCCTTCTGTATTTTTTCCAAATTCCCTATTGAAACTTTGTTTTTGCCTCCTTACATCGTCGGGTAAACCGGGGCCCTTCGTTCGGGGTTTTAAAATTTTTGTTACTGTTGCCCTTGGGGAAAGAACCTTTTCCCCTGCCTCCCCTTCATTTTGTTGCTACATAATTTCCCTCATTTTTATTTACTTGGGGTTTCCTGGGCCCGTTCTTTTGTCCCACTGGAAACCCCCCGCAGGAAGTTTTTTCAACCCCATGTAGTCCCCCCTTTTAAAAGTCAGGGGTTTTCCCATTTTTTACTCCTGTTTTTTTCCCACTTGCAACTCTACTATGTTTTCAAAGCACAGAACCCCCTGGTCGGGAAACTCCCCAGGGGACTCTCATACTTGATTCCTCAAAGTCCCGAGGGTGCCCGGGGGAACACAAGGTCCAATCTTCTGGTTTTATCCTCCCCCCTCACTCTGGGAGTGTCCTTAAAATTTGGTGCATGAGGTTTTCCAGCACCACGTCCAACATCCTGGCTTCCCCTGTTTCGGGACCCCCATGTGGCTCCAGGTTTCCCACAATCTCTCTGTGGTTGAAATCCCCCATAACCACAACTTTTCTCCCGCTGGGGGTGAGCTCTTTTTTTGCCACCTCAAAGTTGTCCCACCATTGCTCTGTTGCTCTCTTCAAAATTCCCTCCCTTTGGGCCCCCTGCATTCTGTGGGGGATTATACACACTGCCATTTACCACTTTGTGTTCCCCCAACGAAATGGGAAAACCCGCAAAGTAGTCCCTTTCTCCCTCCATCTATTCCTTCCTTTTTTCGAATTTTCCATCTGTTTTTTTTTTCGACAGAGCAAAACCCCCCCTCCCCCCCCCGCCCTTTTTAACTTTTCCCCATGATCTGGTATCCCCGGGGGAAGATTTCATCTTTTTATTTCTCCCTGAGTTTTGTTTCTGTAACGCTAAAGATGTCCCGGGGACTTCTCATTGATTCTTCTTCCATTCCCCATGTTTTATTTTTTAATCCATCTGCATTTGTGTAAACCCAAAACCCTTTAACTTCTGTTCTAATACTGTAACTTGGTTTCGGGGGTGGAAAAAGAAGGATCGGGGTGTGATGGGTTGGGTTTTTTAAATTTTTAAATTTTCCTTGGGGTTCGGGCTGGAGTCCTTTCTGGGAAGGGGTTTCTGGGGGGGGCGCTTTTTCCTTCCATTTGATCCTGGGGTTTTTTCTGTTCTCCTTTTTTTTATTTCCCCCCCATTTCTCCTTTCGTTTTTTTAAATCTCTCTTTTATTTCTTCCTTTTTGTCCTTGTTTCTTCTCGGGCGAGGTAAAACACTCCGGAACCCTGCTTTCCTCTCAAACCGTGCTTTCCCCCTGAGGAAACATGGTCGGGTTGATTT